GCACGTGCATGATGATCATACCTTCTTGTAGGAGTCCCTTACATCTATCTATGTTCTAAATCCCATCCTGTTTTATTGAAAAACAAGGGAGTTATAGCCATTTAAAGTTTCAGCCAATCAGATTGCAGCACACGTGCATGCGCGTAATTTCATGATTTTTTTAATATCATTTTGTAGGATATCCTAATGCATGACTATATTTTAAATTTATAAGAATTTCGTCAATAAACAAAGGAGAAATAGCAATTTAAAGTTTCAGCCAATGAGATTGCAGCACACGTGCAAGCGCGTGATTTCATGATTTTTTTCTATATCATTTCGTAGGATATCCTAATGCATGACTATATTTTAAATTTCAAAGAATTTCGTCAAAAAACAAAGGAGAAATAGCCATTTAAAGTTTCAGCCAATCAGATTGCAGCACGCGCACATGCGCATGCTTTCATGAAAATTCTTATATATCGTGCGGTAGATCTTCATAATGTAGGACTATGTTCAAAATTTCAACGGATTATGACAAGAAACAAGAAAGTTATTGAGACTTTAGTTTCAGCCAATCAGAGCGAAGCGCATGTGCATGCGCGTGAGATCTTGCTATTTTGACCATGCTATCTTGTCTATACTACTAATGTATATTTACATTATGAGTTTCAAAAAATTTCATCAAAAAATAGAAAAGTTACGGCAATATCCATTATATTGGTAATTTCACCTATTGCACGTGCGCGCTCTTGCAAGCACGTGCGCGCAAAATGACTTTTGTTTGGCAACTCTACATAACATGCCTACTAACCCTAAAAAGGTTTCACCTAAGTCGGATGTGTAGTTTACAAGATCACTCGTGGACAAAATTTTCCCAGGAAGAAGAAAAATAATAAGAATAATAATAATAAGAAACAGAGTAAAAACAATATGTTCCCCAACTTCGTTTGGGGAACATAACAAACAAATGAACCTAATGTTAAGACACAAACATACGAGGGACGTTCAATAAATAATGTCATTAGCTCGATGACATACAACATAGAAATCATATGACATTAAGTTAGACTTTCTCTCATTATTGAATCTTTAATGAATTGATAACAGTTTATGTGACCACTTTTCATCACATAGTTTCATCGTGAGAAGCTGGGAAACAAGGGCTATTCGAGACACTGCATTATAAATGAATGGTAAAGAATCAGTAAACTAGAGTGAAAATAAAAGCTTCATTAAAGCTGCTGTAAAACGTGTTAAAAACAAAAAGAAATTTTCACTGAAATATGTGACATTTACTTCATCCAATGCCTGTTTTATAGACAAATAAGCAAGTGGATTTCAATGATAAAAAATTATATAATGGGCATCAAAAATGGGTACCGCCCTTGCCAACAAAAATTATAACAACTTATTTACTATTTGCCCAATTTCAACAAATAATATCTGATGATGTGTGACTGACTTTAAGACACATGGCAAATTTGATATACATCATATCGGGAGTAGTTTACAATGTTTTGAAGAAACGTTTGACGTAAAAAAGCTTGGTACTCAAAGATCACCCTATATTTTGAAAAATGAGTGAAAACGACAGCGTGTAGGAATGTCTTAACAATTATTTTAAAATATCAGTAATTGTTGTTATCCAAGTTTGTTTCATATTCAAATAGATATTGGAACATGAATCTACTGCTTAAAACACTCAATACAAAATTTACCATAAGTTGTACTTGATAAAAACAGCAATGGTCCGACAAGAGCAAAGGTATGCAAGAACACAAAGACAGATTTATATGCAATTTTCTTAAATATTAGTGGTACTGTTGTTCAATTTCGTATTCGTGGAGACAGTTTAATTTTTGGAGGAGTCTAGAAAGCAATCTTTTTGCAAAAAAATCGAAAGGTTTATTAGACGAAGGACCTAGAATCAGGAATCCACTACATTAAATTTCTTCATGACAGCGTCCAAACCCTGCACCCCTGAAGAGTAAAGGGGTTTTCGGGATAAAAAAAAAGTTAATATTTTTTCACATTAACAATATTCGCTAGATCTTTTACCTTTTGACTTGTTTCTATTTCCAAACTTGAAAAAACCACCTTTCAGAGAGAAAAAAAAAAAACAAGTCCAGGAAATCATTGGATCTGCTCTTTTCCAGTATACTAAGGGTCATACCCAAAAATGTGTTCTAAATACAATCAGAAATTAAATAAAAACTTTAATGGACATCTATTTTAATCAAAAGAGATTAATAAGTAAAATCATGAAGAAGAAATCATTAAAAAGCGCCTTTTGCCTCTTTCCGAGCCCCGATGACATTATTTATTGAACGTCCCTCGTATATATATGCATTAATTTTGTAAGTATATTCGGTATGCTATAGTACATAGAGTCTGGTGTAGATAAATATGACATTAAAACACGTTTTAAACTTCTAATTTTCTGAAAATAAATGATTCTCTTCGCATTAAGGAGAAATACAAATATTTTGCAACCCGTGGAGGAAAATTTGACTGATATTACAGTGTAGTATATCTACCTAAAACCATGTCATTTGATTACTAGTAAAACCAGTGTTTTCAAAAAGTTAAGATCTGTATTCAGAGTTCAAAGAACAGTGGAATAAAAAAAATAATTTCGTCTTCAACATTATTTATAGAGCAAACTGTGCAAATTCGATCCTCAACAGATTCACCATGATATCTACCGGTCTATTACACTGTATATAGTAGTGATGAAATTCCACATATAAATTGCACTAAAACCACCATAATATTTTTAGGCATATCAAGAACTACATAATTTTCCATGCCATTTTTTTTTTAGTAAACACAAGTTCACAATTTGGGAATGCTTAAAATCTCAATGCCCCAAAGGTTTGTTATATGATAAATTCTTATATAATAATTATCTTTCAAATCACTACACCAGTTAATCCTACATCGTTTTTGATATGTGCGAGGCAATTAATGTCAGCATTTTTGAGGGAGGGATCTTAAGTGTTGCTGATTTTTAATTAAAACTAAGATACTTATATTATGTTGATTCAGAAGCTTTTGTAAGCTCCCCCCACCCTTTTTTTTGGGGGGGGGGGGATCTATTCAAATCATACGAAGATGAAAAAGTTAAATAAAAGATACAGAAAGTTAAATTAATTATCGTAGTAGACTTATTGTTCAGTAAAAATTACATGCCTTTCAAGGTGTTTCCATATCGAAGTTTTTTTTCCCCCTATTTTAAATTTACATCGGACACGATGAAAGAACGTGTAGTCAATAGAACTTTTCATATACCGGTCTTGTAGAGTAGGCTTTCCCCCCTAAAATCTTTCCCTCGGGAAAACTGGCTCTAGAGTAGGATTTTCCTCTGGAAAACTGGATCTAGAGCAGGATATCTCCTACGGAAATCCCACGCCAGGGTCAATTTTCCGGGGGGGGGGGGGTCCTACTTTGTGAAGTAGTTATAGAGTACGTACGATTTCCCCCGTAGCCAATTTTCCCCCAATGAAATATAATTGCTGTAATTATGTTTTGAAGGGGAGAGGGGCGGTACATTGTAACAAGTGTCCCATTTTTATTATATGGTGACCGGATGTATTGAACACATGTACTGAATATGTGATATTGAGCTACTATGGTTTGTGAGTTTCAAGTTTCCATTTCGTTCCACTTCAATGAATATTTACGGAATAATTGCATTAATATTCAATTTCTACTTAGATTTCATGGTAGGGGACAAGTATATTAATTGATAATGCAATACTTTCAGAAAGGGGGGGGGGGGGCTACTCCGAAAAGGAATGGTGGGATTTGGCTCTGGTGTTAAATATCCCCTCGGGGGGAAATCCTACTCTAAAATACAAATTCCGGGGGGAAAGCTGGCTATGGGGGAAATCCTACTCTACAACACCGGTACATAATTTAGTCTTATCCCATGATCCTTTGCACTTCACGACGTGCAAGGGCTCATGCGACAAGACTAACACATATTTTTTTCTTCTTTTGATTTAATGAAATATTTTCCTTCCTGTCTATTTTTACAACATCGGTGCCTAGCTGTGTCTGGCGCATTCTACGTACTAAGTCTTTGTTAATACCGGTAAATAAAGGTTTTTGACAGGAACTTTAGGAGGCTACTTCCTGACAGAAGTAGATTTTATTTTTCTTTAAGTAAGAAAACTGAAAACTTAAGGTCCAACCCCTCAAATCTGCTGTCGTTAATTGTCTTGCCAGCGTTTAGGGAACACATGTATATGTCATGGGTAATATGTATCAATTACTTTTATTAACTATGTTGACTCCTTCACTGTGGAAAAAGATTGCGTAGGATTCTTGGCATGGCTAATGACTGCAGACTGCAGAGTTATAAAATTCTATACATCAGAAATAAACTTATTCAAGCAATTGCTTTATTACAGGAGGAAGATTGACACTTTATAATTTCCTGGACACATTTGAACTTAAAAAAAAATGGATTAAAAATCAAGCCATTTTTGATCAAGAGATATAACTGCCTTCTTATTATTAATTCCTTAATTAATTCTTTCATTTTCCTGCATTTTCAAGCACTAAATCCTTAGCATGTGAATATTATATTTTCTTTATTACAGTCAGATTCAAAAAGAGATCGCAAACACTTATAATCGGCACATTTTCAAGACTTGATTCCAACATGATGCAATGTTTGCACTTGGAGCCAACTAAGTCAAAACAAATGGCAGTATACGGGTAAAATTCAGTTAAGACCATTCGATGTATGAAATATCAAAAAGTTATTCTAAATCCCAAATTTCCTTTATTTTATTTTATTGTCTTTTATTAATTTTCAAAAAGAAGATGAAAAAGATTACATGACAAATTATTTGTCATGTAATCATTTTCAACTACAGCATGTACAGGTTGAAATTTAATCAGAGACAATATTTTTATCATTAATTGAGGAGTGTTTTATCATATAATTAAGCAATTGCTACACTGCGCCATGCAGGCGACAAATAAAAAGACCATGTGATCTTGTTTGCTTGTACCTCGGTCGATTCGTACCTCATAATGAGATAAAGGTGACGGAGTCAGTCAAGGTTTGCCGAATGGTGACGGAAACGGCCGATGTTTGATGAATGGTGTTGGAATAGATAACAGACAAGTGTCACTCATCGGAATGAGGTCGCTTACTACACAAGTGTAAGAAATATTTCACAGTACTACAAAGAATGTTATCATCTGTACATAATATCATTGGTGTATAATTTTGTGTTTAACAATTCTCTGTAAAAAAAACTTATTTTCCATGCATATACTTTAGTATATGCTCTTATTTAATGTTTTTTTATTACACTGAATATACAGATCAGAGAGAGAGAGAGAGAGAGAGAGAGAGAGAGAGAGAGAGAGAGAGAGAGAGAGAGAGAGAGAGAGAGAGAGAGAGAGATTTGTGTTCAAGAACTACAGAATGCCTAACATGGCCATTTCTTTCTTTATCTTCCAGTTATTCTGTAGGAGGAAAACTATTAAAAGAATGCCGGCTTAACGACAGACATTTAACTGTACTGAATGTATTACTTCGTTATAACTCAGATAAAGGTGAAGGGACTGCCAGAACCAAGAAAGGTTCTACAGAATCCCCTACAACGAAGGATGAACCAAACCAGAGTAAGACAAGATGTGTTTGTGAAACACCGCAAATTAAAAAAAAAACATATTTTTAGCATAAAGGACACAGTGAAGGTCACAATGTCATTGATCTTGGTGTCATTTGAAAGATCTTGATTAGTGAAGTATATATATATCAAATAAGAAGTCTCTAACTTTCACGGTTCAAAAGTTACGGCGAAGGTTCAAAATAGCTATAAAAGACACAGTCAAGGTCACAACGTCATCGACCTTGGTGTCCTGTGAAAAGGCTTCATTAGTGGAGTAGGCATGCCAAATATCAAGTCTCTATCTTTCTTCGTTCAAAAGTTATGGCGAATGTTAAAGTTTGCCGTCAAAAAAAAACTATATTTCGCTCATAGGCCACAGCCAAAGCAACAAGGTCATTGACCATGGTGTCTTTTAAAAAAACTTAATAAGTGTTGTATGTATACCAAATATGAAGTCTCTATCTTTTGTGGTTCAAAAGTAATGGCAAAGGTTAAAGCTTGCAAAAAAAACCCTCTATTTTTAGGATATAGGTCACAGTCAAGGTCACAAAGTCATTGACTTGGTGTCATTTGAAAGAGCTTCATTAGAGAAGTAGGCATATTAAATATGAAGTTTCTATTATTCATGGTTCAAAAGTTATGGCGAAGGTTAAAGTTTGCAGACAAACAGACAAACAGATAGACAGGCAGAAAGACAGGACAAAAACAATATACGCCTCGGATTTTTCGATCCCGGCGCATAAAAATACATACATGTAGCATGAAACTCTGCCAATAATAATGACTGACAGTCCTCTGAATGATAATGAATGACAGAGTAACATGTATGCCTTCAGTAACCTTTCCAAGCATTTCAGTGAACGTTCAGTAAACTTAAGGGTGTTGTTTCATCACGTGATACAATGTACACGTATGTTGCTTAAATGTGTTAAAAGGGCATTCACTGTACAGAATTATTTATGTACAAAATCATAAATCAATAAAAAACATATATTTTATCTTTTATTTTAAGAGATCAGATCAACTTAAAACTTTTTTTTCTTCCAGTGAAAAAATACAGAAAAATTCTTGGTGGCGGATTCTTAGTAGGCGGAGGAGCGGCGATCGGCGCACCTGCCTTGTTGCATACAGCGGGGTTCAAGAGTACAGGAGTGGCTGCAGGATCTTTGGGGGCGTGGTTAATGTCCGTAGGAGCCACGGGGCTGAGCGGAGGAGCGCTGTTAACTATAGGATCAATAGCGGGCGGATCTTATGTTGTGATG